TTTTTCTTTACCAGGATTAAACATTGTATATTGAATGTTTTGAGAGTCAGTGGTGAGATATTCTACTAAAACAATTCAAAACCCAAGAACTGCTCAAGACAAAAATATAATTCATAACAAAGTTAAGATCAAACAAATGGGACATTGTAGGGATTGTGCACACATCTAAAATCATATTTTATTAATGCAATATCAACCATTGTAGATGCTTCAGGTGCCCTCATCTTTGATAATCACAATGCTTCGGTTTTATTTAGCACTTTCTCGGACACTCAAAGACGCTTATCATTACTCTTTCATTCCATACACAGTGGTAATAAACTATTACTGTAGCCACAGCTTCCCTGGGCAAAAATAAACTTTTATTAAATTAAAGTCAAGCTCTTTAGACACCAGATGTCGAATGACAATGGGTGTCCACTAAGTGAGGAACTGTGTTTAATGTACAGTACCTTAATATATCTTGAACCTTTGCACATATTGTCATTTTTACAGCCATAAACATAAGATTTAACCTGTCACAAAGTTTCACATCTTCATTAATAAATGGTCTAATTGTTTCCTCATAAAGGTGTCTAAAAGTCGGGACAAAAATGCAGGCATGATGTTGCTCAGTAGGAAGGACTTTCATACAGGACTCTAAAATAATACTTACTTTTTGGTTTTCTATTTCCAGAATCATTTATCATTTTGCTTTCACTCCACAGTTGTTCCTAACTTCTGTGTGGATGATCAGTTAAACAAATCTGAAAAAATTCTTTATTGATTATTTTTATTTTCCAGGATTCCTACAAAAAAATGAACTCAACCCAGAAGATAAACTCAACACTACATGTTATAAATCACTGCTCAAACTTCCCCATCAGCAACCAGATCTTTCTCCTTTTTTTTAGCTTCTACATTTTGCTTGTTCCGCTTTACCTATATGTTCCTTTCGTCGCGCACCAGGCATGGAAAAGATCAAAACCCATGTGTCATACAGACATTTTCACCTTCAACAACCTCCTTTTTGAGTTGATAAACATAGCTTCCTTGTTGGCTTATTCCTTCGGGATATTTTTGACGAACATTGCCACAATCTTGGTAGGAAGTGGCATCTTTAATGTTGTGTGTTGTGGACAAACAGTGTTGCACGTTTTGATGTGTGCAGAGAGATATGTAGCAGTGGTCCACCCCATAACCTACAGGAAACTAAAGGTAACAAAAATGGGTGAAAGGATCCGAAACTGCAGTATAATCTTTGTGTGGCTGTGCACTGGGCTTGCTATTGGAATAGTATACATAAACAAACATGAGAATGTAATTTTACCGTCATACATCGTACTAGCTTTGTGCTCGACAGCTGTGTTATTTTATAGCCTCACTGTTCTTTACACACTGCTTAGACCAAACCCTGGGGACAACCCTCAAAAGCACAGAATCGATCCATCCAAGAAGAAAGCCTTTAAAATCATTGTGTTGATTTTGAGCGCGCTTCTTTTGAGGATTGTTGGAATCCCGGTGCGTGGACAGCTTTTTGACATACCCACACTGAAGTACTGTGTGCTCTCGTCAGTGGCTTTTGCAATGAATATTCCCAGCAGCTTGGTGTTACCCCTGCTTTACCTGCAGCGGATGGGGAAGCTGCCAGGTACCAAGCGAAGTACCAAAGAATGATCGACCAAATCTTTGCACTGGCTTCCTGTTAATATTAGATTATTTGTAAGGTTTGGGCATACTTGAAATCTGGCCTCTGCATTTGACCCATCCTGCAATGCCACTAGGGCCTAGTGCAGCATCGGTAACCCATCCTCAGATGTTGAGGCTTGGCTTGGTCAGGACTGCTGCGTAGGATTCGACCTCTCATGTTTTAGCAGTAAGGGAATTCCCAGAGAAGACGTACATGGACACAGAGAGAACATGCAAACTCCACACACAAAAAGTTCCAACCAGGATTCAAACACAGGACCTTGTAACACAGCACCCCACGCCGTTTATTTTTTAAATCTATGAATGAATAGGCGTCCCAATGCAGTGCCTGAGACCAGATCTTTAAACCTGGGGGGACTGGACCTTCTCTGTGCCTGGACCAAAGCCGTGGAAAACTCTGCCTCCTTATGCCTGGGTTTGCCCCGTATAAACCTTGGGGACATCGCTCCAGAAACTGTAATTCCCTGTGAGCTTTATGTCTGTGTTCTGTCTTTTACAATGTTCTGTATTTGTCTTGTGCAACCTAACTGATGCTTGTGACTGCTTTGAATACGAGCTGTTTGCATGAGGCTTGTGACTGCATGTAAATAAAACTCACTGTGGATAAGATTATTTGCATGTACAGATTTATTTGTACATTTATTTATTTGATACTGTAGCAACACTATAGTCACTCATGCAGAGAGGAATGAGAAAAAAAGCATAATTATAACATTTACATTTTAGTCATAAGGCAATGGAGGAAGTGTGTGTGGTATAAGGTGGTTTTTGCATCCATTTTGAGGCGTGATCCAAAATAACTTGACCATAAAAACATTGAGTTTTCCCCTTTTACATTACATTTCTAAAATTCCTCAGCAGGGTCCGTTTCAATGGAACTCAATTTTTTTATATGTAAGAATTGAAATGTATTTAAGATCGTACAGACATTATGTAACTAAATGCATAAGGCCTGCACTAAAACACAGTCCAATAGACACAGGTCTGAAGGTTGTCATGGAAAAGGCATATGACCAAGCATTACCATCAACCATCCACATACAAAACATGATCTGTGGGGACAGGGACATCATCTGAATAACGTGTAGTTCTAAAGACGGTTTGACGTATGTTCCATCTGTTGTTTTCTGGTAAGTCTCTTTTTTGTACCAAATATTTGTTTTACACAAGATATTTGGTACAAGATACTCCACCCATGCTCATGGTGGTTATTTTATGTATTTATCTTTTTATTTTTATTTTGAGATAAACAAGAGAACTCCCAGAGAAGTCAATTTGACAGCTCTTCAACATGTATATAGTCATCATCTTTATCCCCACTGCTGTCAGACTGTACAACAAGTCACTTTAAAAGTCACTGCATTAAGACTGAAAAAACCTGCACTACTATTGACACTGTTTCTGGTTGCCACTTTTTAAAATGCCACTTTTTATTGTGGCATAAAATATCCTGCATTTACCATGTTTGCACATTTCTTTCTTTTTGCACAATCTTGAGTGTTTCTATCCATGCCAGATGTGACATGTACATTTCTTCTTTGTGAGATCAATAAAGTATATCTTATCTTATTACTTTATGACATTTTCTGTTTCTATTTGTAGTTTTACTCTATGAAATTATCTCTTTTTATGTGAGTAGTTCTAGATTTGCTGACAGAATAATACAGACTCAACATTCTTGTCAAAAAGGCAGGATTGATTAACCAATGTTCCATGGATATAAGCAAATGGATAAATGTCCCCTGACCTTAGAACCGAAAAAAAAAAACTCTAACAAGCCAGTGGGAAGAAAAGAGTTATAGGGCTCTTTATATTGGCACAACATTATATAGATACACTGTACATGAATGGAATAAACATGGATAGAACACATCATCTTGTCTTAGAAGTGGGTAAATTACGTCAAACATGCAAATAAGGTGATTTGAATAACAAAATTGAAATTTGAAGGAAATACATTTACACAGACCAGCAGGTGGTGACAATTCCTCATTCCAGTCACTTGGGAACTCTCCACACAAATATAATTTTTGAAGATTTGACTCGTGGCTGTATTGTTATAAGCAGTAGCTATTACCACTCTGACCAGTAGGTGGAAAACTGGTCTTGCACCACGGAAAACCTTGTCTCAGTTCAGACAGGAACCCACATCACTTTACCACATTAGACCTTCACATTTTGTTCACATCTGAGTCACTATTAACAACCTAAAAGGAGGAATATCTTACCGTCTTTATTTGATCATTTTTGGATAATAAATAGATCTCCTCCTGGAGGTGTAGGACTAAGGACTGAAGCAATAGATTAGGCAGTGAGGTCATAGATCCAGGGCTGAGGCTATAGATCCAGGACTCAGGCTATAGATCCAGGTTGAGGCTATAGAGCCAGGACTGAGGCTATAGATCCAGGTTGAGGCTATAGATCAAGGTATCAGGCTATAGATCTAGGACTGAGGCTATAGATCCAGGACTCAGGCTATAGATCCAGGTTGAGGCTATAGATCCAGGTATCAGGCTATAGATCCAGGACTGAGGCTATAGATCCAGGTTGAGGCTATAGATCCAGGTTGAGGCTATAGATCCAGGTATCAGGCTATAGATCCAGGACTGAGGCTATAGATCCAGGTATCAGGCTATAGATCCAGGACTGAGGCTATAGATCCAGGACTCAAGCTATAGATCCAGGTTGAGGCTATAGATCCAGGACTGAGGCTATAGATCCAGGTTGAGGCTATAGATCCAGGACTCAGGCTATAGATCCAGGTTGAGGCTATAGATCCAGGTTGAGGCCATAGATCCAGGTTGAGGCCATAGATCCAGGACTCAGGCTATAGATCCAGGACTCAGGCTATAGATCCAGGTTGAGGCTATAGAGCCAGGACTGAGGCTATAGATCCAGGTTGAGGCTATAGATCCAGGACTGAGGCTATAGATCCAGGTTGAGGCTATAGAGCCAGGACTGAGGCTATAGATCCAGGACTGAGGCTATTGATCCAGTTTGAGGCTATAGATCCAGGACTCAGGCTATAGATCCAGGACTGAGGCTATAGATCCAGGACTCAGGCTATAGATCCAGGACTGAGGCTATACAGGACTGTTTTGCAAAACCTACGGTGCAATTCAACATTCTCTTCCATTTTTTTGACAGAAAATGATAACACACAACAGCACAGACTTGAAGAGAATCCTGATGCTGAGTTATTCCATTTCTTACATCCTGGTCTATCTTCCCATCTGTGTCTACATACTTCACCTGGGATTCATACGCTGGAGGTCGCACAGAAACTCCATCAGCCACTCAGATTTCTTCACTTACAACATGGTCGCCTCGGAGCTCATCGCCGTCTTCACCTGCACTATTTCGCTCATCACTCACGATAACGACATGAATATTCAGTCTGGGACATTAAAATCACGCTTTATTGCCTGGTGCTTGGGGAAGTTGTGAAATGGGTGAATCTGGTGACGACGCTGCTGATGCCGCTTCTCTATCTGCAGCGCTATGGGAAACTGTGCTGATGTGGAATGACGGACGTACTAACTTTTGACTTTTCACTTATCTCTTGTAATATTTGATAGTGTGCAAGTACTCTTTCTGCTTCCTGTCCAGCGCTCTCCACTTTTTGAATAAACTCTCTGGCCTTATTTGACGAGCACATATCACCAGAATGATTAGCAGGACCCATAGTCTTGATGATCCACCCGGAAGTAGAAAATCTTTCTATATACCTTTAATAACATGTTTTTGTTGTCCCGTCAGAAAGTCTTTGGTGGAAGTAAAATGTTGTAAATCAAATCAGTCTTCAGCTTATTTGAAAACCTTATCTTTTGCAGCCCTGGGAGTTGACTGGCTCCCAGGCATGATCCTCTCGTCCTCACTGTGCTGGCCCATGTGCCCCCCTGCGAGTCGGTCAAATGCCCTATAACAAATGCCCATATACGTTTATTTGTATAGCACAGTTCATAAATAAGGCAACCTAAAGTGGTTCACGAAACCAGAACATAAATCAGTAAGATTAAAATTATGGGGCAATACAAACAGATGTTTTTTGGAATATCCATATTATTAATTTTGAATATCCGCTTTTTAACATATATAGTATATAACATATACATATAACATATAGTGGATGAGTGGTAGGATAAGCAATGTACAGTATTGTATATATGTATATTTATATTCATTAAAAATGAAAGTGAAAGTAAAGGTTACCCTTTTTGCTGGCTTGCTGAGGGTCTTGTGATTGAAAGTATTCTCTCACACTTACACAGTATGTGTAGCCTACAACATATAACTTGAATCAAACTAGACCACCTTCATTCACTCTCACAGCAGGTGACATCTTTGTATTGAGTATAACATCTGTCTCCTCACTCACCAATGCATCTACAGCAACGCTCCAGAATACCTGAAAGACCTCCTCACCTTACAGTCCACATAACGATCTCTCCGGTCCACAAACACCTATCGTCTCAGTCAGCCAATCACACGACTTCACTCCATGGGAGACAGGACTTTTTCAGCCGGAGCCCCACACCTGTGGAAAAAAAAAGCTATTCAGGAAGGCCTGCTGCTGATCTGCAGCCCATGTCTTTTAATGCATTTGAATTATTTTATTCTGATGTATGTATTAAACTTTCTGTAGCACCTTAAGATGTGCTTCGCATATGTAAGGTGTGTTATAAATAAAATCTATTATTATTATTATTATTATTGAGTTACAGACGAGTTCACCCCAGTTACAACACATCCAAAACTAACAATAATTAGACATTTTGGACCAAATTTCAAAACTTCACAGGATTTGGCAAGAATTGAAACATATAGAACCCACAGTGATAGATAATTTTTTGAAATAAGAGTATTCCCGCTGTTCTGTTGAAGCTGATATTAAAACAAACGCTCCGCCTCTCCTCAATGATTAATCCCAGTTTCAGTCAGACACAAACAGTTTCAGTCAGACACAAACAGGAGTCTATCATAAAACCTTGTTTCTTGGAGAACTGAGAGACAGCCAATGCAGTACTCCTCAGAGTAGGAGCAGGAGGCTGGGACTCCCTCTTCTCCCTGTGCTCCCATGGTCTACCTTGGATGTACTTTGATCCAAGGTCAGTGGTTCTCAAAGTACCAGACTCAGGACATGAGATCAATGAAACATATCATTCTCAAGTTGTGTTTTAATTATCATTATTTTTGTTTCTGTATTTCATAATTTTCATGACGTCAAACATGATTGTTAGGGACGTTTGTTCAAATAACACAGAAAAATAAACAATTTTGTGTTATAATCCACGCTGTTGCCCTATTTTTCATCCTTACATAGAATGACATAGAATTGACTTGTAGTCCTATAAACTAGAGCCAGGAAATGATTACAAAGCTCTGAACAAGAGAAAACATGCATTAGGAGATAAGTCATAGTTTGTTTAACGTGTTACTATGACTTCACTACATTTGAGGGAAAACCTATGTAAAGACTTTTCACTTGTTTACGTATGAACATATCTTTGCTTTTTAGTCTATAATTGAACACAGTGATTTTTGAGCAGTACAACAATAAGTAATCTTTATGGATGTTACTGCGGAGACGGCAGCGTAAGTACAACAGACAATACTTATTACAGGTAAAAAAGTCAGTGTCATAAAACTGGAACTTTGAAAAGGTCGGATCAGAAACAGTTCATAAAGTATGTCTAAATACCACACGAGAATTCAGTTTGGTTCACAGCTTAAGTTCAATGTCATCTTTATGTAAACAAAAGCATGTGATTAAAAGTACTACATTTAAAATGATGTATTGATCATTACTGACTGATAATGGTATTGATAATTACTGCAGTGACCAGAACATGTCTGTGGAGGAGAGCTGGTATGTTGCAATCATTGTGACACTAATACTTATTATTAGTATTTGTTTATAGAGCACCATCCATGTGTTTTCTCATTACATTCAGACCTATTGAGCATGTTTATCGTTGTTGGGTAAACCGGGCATGGAGGAGAGAACATGCAAACTCCACATAGAAAGAGCCAATTTGGAGGTAAAATAATTTCTTCCAAAAGTCACTTCCACCAACATTTGCAATTATGGGTAAAGCCAAAATTGTATTCTTAAAGATCTGCAGGATATTCGCTCAACTACAGGTTTGTGGTTTAGTATTTTTAAATACTAAATCAGGCCGAAGAATGTAACGTTCATTGAATAATCGTTTTTCAATCAAGAACTTCCAAATGTATTCTCATGTATAGATATAACTTCTTCTACGTCACATAATACATTCATGTCTTCACCGACACCTTCTGGTTTTCTTTCTGCCTCGTTCTGATTCTGAGTTTTTCCCTCATCGTTCACTTGTTCTGCTTCTGACTTTTCCTTCACTTTTTCTAGTGACTCTGTTTCTCGTTGCTTCTTTTCTTTTTCCGTAAACTTTGTCATGTTCATACGTTCTGCCACCATCACAGATTTTCTTTTCAATGACATCAAAATGGTCTCCTCTGTTTTCACAATCTGTTCCTCAATATCTGCAATTGTTTTCTCATAAACCTTCTTCTCTCCTTCTAGTTTATCAATGTTATGCTTTTTCATCTCCTTTTTGTCCATTATGCCAAACATAGAACCAGGCTTGTTCTTCTCTGCTTCTAATAAACTGATAACATGATACAACGCTGCCTGTGGTTGTTCCTTGAGCTTCATTAAGAATGTCTTTGTGTCACTCAGTTTGTGGATAACTTCCTCCAGATACTTCAGCTCATCCTCAATCGTCTCTCCTCTTCTCAGCATGCCCTCTTTTTCTTCTCTTTCTCCAAGTTCAAAGTCTTTCATTTCAGATTTCTGTTCTGGAAAAGAGAATGAAAAAACACATCTATTAACTAAAAACCGGCCGTTGATGCAAACAAAACTTCTAGATGTAATTCTTATGCACTATTTATTCTAATATTGGCCTCATACATCAGCCGTTACTATATGTATCTTCATTTAGGGGATTTCAATTCAATATGATTCAATGCAATGTTTTTTAATGAGCAATACGATATGTTTTGGTAAATCTAGGTTTGGTTTATCTAATGCTCTTAATACAAATGCAACACTATTAATTTATATTTTATTTATTGAAGATAAAGATGAATTGTTAAATTGAAAGAAACATATGTATCAATATAATTATTATTTGATCTAAAACACAATTGTTATTTAAAGCACACCTCTAAAACGGTTATAGCGCTCAATCTGGTCCAAACGCCTGTTCTCCAGTTGCTGCTTTTTCAATGAGAGAAACTCTAAACCTGGACTCACTGTTGGCTTTAAACTTCCACACGACCAAAGCAGCAGCAGCAGCAGCAGCAGAGAGACACAGAGCGAAGAGGGTCCAGGCCAGAGAGCAAGAGGAACAAGACTCCACCTTTTCATCTGCACAAAAATAACATATTACTTTCATATTCTTACTCTGCACACTTCATTTATCTTATCATTATACGGCTCTTCACGGTTGAAGTAGAACGCTTCACTGATTTGAAAGTAATTTAAAAACGTTCTACCGGTCATTGCTTCTTGATAACGGACCTCTCGAACCAATAATGACCGCTGCAATTTGTGCTTGTAATTCACGTGAGTCAGATTACTCCGCAGTAGTCCGGCCACTTTGTCAATGAGCATATTTACGCTAGCGTTATCTATTTCCGGAGGCGCCTGTCAATACTTCCGTCTCTGTTAGGGAACCTGGGGGAATCACTCCTAACTGGGAATTTACACAGTAGGCGTTCACAGCATGTAAGCATTGACTGCGCCGTGGAGGACAGTACTTACCTTTTGGTCCAGTTCTGTTTTGTTCAGGAAAAACTGCCATAAACAGTCTTTAAACAAGAAAAAAGTGAACAATGAAGGAAAAACACAAGATCAGATATAAAAAGCAAAGTAGTATTTTGTGTTGTACTTTCCTGGCCATAAATTCATGTATAATATTTATACTTTAAATGTGGCTATTTTACATGACCATCAGCCAATTTTTTCTCAACTTTTAAGTCATCTTCCAAAGAAAATCCTAAACATTAACACCATCTGAATGTAAAACCCTCTGAAAGGCAGCAGGAGATACTGTGTCTCCTATAGCTCAATTATTATTATTATTAGATCAAACATTATTAGCTCATGCAATTATTAAAGTTATGAATTCAGAAGCAGCCCCAGTGAGCATGAAGACATGTGTGTAAGATATTCACATGTAAGGATCATATTCACAGACTCACCGACCCGCAGAGTGACCTGAGCCTCAGTGTTGGTCCGGGGCAAGAAACAGCGGTACGTCCACTCATCACTGAGCTTCACTCGGGACAGGCTCAGGGAGAGGTCTCCCTTCTGCAGCCGGTTCTCGGACAGAGCCGTGCGGGCCAGATACAGTGGGTTTTGGTTCATGAGGAGGTCCAGACCGTCACGTCTAATGTGGACGTATGGTGGAGTCAGGTCCAGTCTCGCCCACTCCACCACCTGCTCCCTGAGGTCTGCAGCAGGCTCCACCTGACAGGGTAGGGTGATGTCACTGCCCATGGGCGCCATGACGACCTGAGACTGAGTGACCATTGTGTACTGACCTGAAGACATCAAGATGTTACTAAAGGTGTTAAACTTTTGTTTTTCCATCAGTCATTTGTTGACCCAAAAATAAGTTTGTACATACACCATAATTATGTATTCTTCCTTATGGACCTCCACCTCACTGTGAGAGGAGAGTTTGGTGGAAGCTGTGTCCGATTGGGACAAGTGTCCTGTGGGTGAAAAAGTCTGAATGCTTTCATGGACAGTGACAAATGTAATGGAGAACGGTTCAATCTTTCGGTTTGATGCAATTGAAGCCCACTCTGAGCCAAAAAGTTTGATGTGAGGGTCATAGTTGGGTCCGAATAAAACGGAAAAAATTCTAAATTCCAAATCCTCATGCCAGATGGGCTTCGTTCCACAGAGGGTGGTGCACCAACAGTTGTATCCTGTATGCAGCTAAAGCCTCACTTGAATACTTACCCCAGCAGAAGTGAGTCTGCACGAGGAAGAGGACAGAAAGTTGTACCAACTGCATTCTGGAAATCTATGAAGGAAGACGATCACACTTACTGTGAGAAGCTGTCTCATGTTAATATCTTGTAATACAAATATGTTAATGTATTTTTCTTATTTTATATGCACTAAATAAAAGTATTTTTTTGCTGGCTCGCTGAGGGTCTTGTGACTGACTCAAATAGAAAGTGAAAGTATTCTCTCACTCTTATGTGTAGCCTACAACATGTAACTCAAATCAAACTGGATCACCTTTATTTCCCTCTCACAGCAGGTGAGTTGGAGACGAGTTCACCCCAGTTACAACACACCCATGACTTACAATCGTTTGGACATAATTTTTTACTAAACTAAAAGCTTCACAGGATTTTGCAGGAATTGAGACATATAGACCATAAAACAATTTGAAACCACGTCGCTAAAGAACATTTTGAAGTAAGATGAAGTTGTGATCTTACCTGTTTATTTCACACGAGTATTCCTGTAGTTCTGATGAAGCTGACAATAAACAAACGCTCCGCCTCTTCTCAATGATTAATCCCAGGTTCATGAGAACAGTCACAAACAGGAGTCTATCATAAAACCATCAGTCTGTGGTTTTCTGGACAAACTGAGAGACAGCAAATGTTGTGGAGTTTTGACTCTGCTCGATTCCAAAAAGTCCAAGTATTCCATTCCAGTCCACTTTCCTTTTTTAAATGGTCTGTCACTTAGGATTACACTAAATAATAATAATAATCTCTCCTTGATCAAAGTCAGAAGGCTGCCCTTTGTCACTTTATGAAATGTTGTGTTGTTGGCTCCAACGAAGCAGAACCTTCAACATGCACTGGGACAGTTTGCAGCAGAGAGTGTAGCAGCTGGGATGAGAATCAGCACCTCCAAATCTGAAGCCATGGTGCTCGACCAGAAAAAGATGCTTGTTCTCGTTGTGTGTCATCGGCCCCTCACATCACCACCAACCATTTATGTTGGTGGTGATCAGACTCATACTAGGCAATGTGAGTGAAGTGTCTTGGCAAAAGACACAACAACAGTGAATAATACAACTACTGTGAGATGGGGACTCGCGAGATGAACACGGACCAAAGTAGCACCTTGCACAATTTGTATTCAAGGCTACACAAAATGCTTTACAAAAGGAAACGGTAAAATCATAAATCAAGTGAAAAGGTAAATAATCACAGCCCATTGTTTAAAAATTCTTTGAATAGAGGAGAAGATAAAATGATTATTTTGTACTATAAAGATTCAAGATTGCTTAATTTGTCTCCTTTAGCAGAGATTTGGTTTGGACCGATGGGTCTGCTACATTTCAATACAAAAATAACTACACCCAAAGACACCAACATACAGTTCACACACACATCATCTCCTCATGTCACTGAAACAGGTATGAATGAGTTCTTTTAGCGATTGAGTCAGTACCGAGGCACTCTGTACCTCTTCCCAGAGTTAAAAAGCTCATATTCAAGGAAAAGTACATGTGTAGGATCGGAGAGGATGCTCCTGGTCTGTCTCCTCATGGCCTGCTCATAGAGCTCCTGGGGGCCAAGAGGGACAGGCGTGCCCATGATTTTCCCAGCAGTTTAAAACAAGTTATTTATTTGTGTTTTGGATTTAACAAGAAGATTCCCAAACCAGCTGGTAATCCTGTACCTCAGCAGCGATTCAATGGATTCTCTGTGGAAGATGAGCATGATGGTCTTCGACACACCAGTGACAATTTGAATTAAATGGTGTTTGAAACAGGTCGTGCCTGTCGCTTTAAGACACACAATCTGGTTCCCTCTATAAATGCGCGTCTCTCTCTAGGGTGCGCCTTGCCCACGGACGCTCCGCACTTGACCAGGGTGCGGGCGCCCGAGTTTCCCCCGCTGACACAGGCATTCCGCGTGGGGTCCCCCCGAGCCTGCCCCACGGGTCGCCTACCTCAATAAGGGTAAAGGCCTTTGTACACTCGCACGGCCCTGCTTACGGTTGCGGTTACGTTGGACCTAACCACAGTTTGTGGTACACTTGTGCGTTGTCCGAATGTTGTAATCCCACAACCAACCACGTGATGGCGAACTCACAGGAGTTGCCTAACCAAAACGGTCCCATTTGTGCTGCTACTTTCTCTAGCCTGGCTCTGCCAGACCCTTGTAGTTCCGCCATGCTCCACCAGAGGCGTTTGGCTGAACCACATGGGTCTGATACATAGACTGTATATATTAACGGACAGAGTCACGCCTATCTCCGCCGTTCTAACTAATGGGCCAAAAAATGTGCTCTACTGGAGCAATCCAAAATGGCCGCGAGTGGTCCCGCCCACAAAATGTTTTTGAAAAAACGCATCTGCGCATGCGTCAGCCGGCGCAACTCCATTCATTTGAACGAGAGACTTCAAAAATTCACAGCAAGTAAACTAGAGTGTGTAACGGTCAGTCAGGTTGTAGCACCATATTACGCCACTGCACGGCGCTGTTTGTATATACACTGTATGTATGCTGTTAGCAAGAGGCACACGCATTTTGTCTCTCTCTCCAACTCTACGTAACAAGTGGTACGGGTGAAATAACTGTCATGTAAGGCATTATATGAAGACCTGGCATTGTTCTATCAATAAAGTAAGTGGAGATAAAACGAGTCTTTTTCCCCTTTTTGAGTGCATTGCTAAAGGCTTTTCACCTGAAGACTGCCACCCCACGTTACAAGTGGACCAAAAAAATTCACCCCCCTCAGCATTGACACACATGTCGAGAGTTCTGCCACGTTTTCGAGAGTTCTGCCAATGCTATATGTTAGCATTGGCTAATTCTACTTCTGGGTCCACCCCCATCGGCCCGGGGTGGTATTGCAAGCATGTCAGCGTACGTAATTTTGGCCACTTTTGAGCTGGGATCCTCCCCCACTGGGTTCGCACTGCCTTCTCAAGCTTCTCTCAAGCAGCAGCGAGAGGAATCCAAGATGGCGGCCGTAAAGTCCGCGAATCTTTTTAAAAGAGTAAATACGATCGAATTAAGACACGGATGTCACTTTTAATGCAATTTGAGGCGAGATGTTGATGGTTCTATGGTGATATATGTGTGTTTTAAGAGTCAAATGTTCCTGTAAAGTTTGGTTGAAGCACTGGTTCAGTGTTCCTGTATACACACTATGCAGCAGGGTTGCTTGGTTTGGTGGTTCCCGCATATTTTTTTCCAAGAGACTTGTAGGTATTAAATAAACAGAAATACAATAAACAGAATCATGATAGCCCAAGTTGATTACATTATGTTTTTAGCCAAAAAATCATTCTGAGTGTTTTTTTTGTGTGGGTATTCTTGCGGATTTTGGGTTGGAAAATCTTGCTGGGATTTGGCAACCTATGGGAGCCGTGTGCTTCGATGTGAGTGGTTGAAAGCAGACTTCATTCAAGATAACGGACAAGTGGTCTATCCAATCACATACAAGGATTTTTTTATAAGGCCCTGCCTTCTGAAATCCAACCACTATGGCTCAGTACCAGACTCATGTGTGAAGTGCAGCGAACTACATGGGTCTGGCGAGAGTCAGGCTATACTTTCTCCTCTTCAGAACAAAAACAATAGTGAAGCTGTTTGAGATCATTACATGTGTTTCTACTGAAGGTTTATGTGATAGTTCTATGGACTGATTGTTTCAACTCATTTAACTGTGATGTTGTGAATAAAGACACAGTTCTTGTTGGAAACATAGTTATTATTAAATTGTATTCAGCACAAACAGCAAAACAATAAGTGATAAATATCTGAGACAAATAACTAGTGCAGGAGGAATGGAACAGACGTGATAAGGTATGAGTGCAGATTCAAACAAAGACAGGAACAGTGCAAAAGAAACAACTGCACAGTTTATAAGTTATATATATATGTATATATATGTTAGATATGATATAAACTATTGTGCAAATGTCAAGAATGTTGTGAGAAATGCACCAAAGCGACTGTGAAAAACTGTAATCTGTAATTTATGTGAGTCACACCATTCTACCAGACTATCAGCAACCATGTGTACATTCTGATTGGAACTAGTTTTCATAAGACTGAGCAGAATTGTTTCTATGATTAATTTGCAATCAGGACTAACCTGTTGTTTTCAGGAAGACTGTTTCAGAGGTTTTCCCCTTGTTTAGTAATTCTGACTCTGGGCAACAAGAAGAGGCCAGTCCCTGTGCTACTGAGTAGGAGCAGAAGGCTGGGACTCCCTGTGCTCCGCCTATGTTCCCAGATGAACAGTACTTTTGTCCAAGACAGTGGTTCTCAAAGTGGGGCAACAATACTCGGCCTCATATGATCAATTAAACATACTATTCTAACCTTTTTGTTTTGAAGAGTATTTCAGTTTTATCACCAGAGTTAATACTGTGACAGAGTTGAAACTTGTGACAGTAGTTGGACTGCGCTCGGAGCGGGTCTGAGACCTGTGTTGCAGAGTCTGCCTCGCGTGTGAGTCTGTTGTGTACAATCTACACAATGTGCCTCCTGTTGTGTTAACGCTGTCTTTGGGTGCTGTTGACACTTTGCTGCTACGACGTCGGATCGTTGTCCGGATCGTTCTTTTACATAATTGCGGATCTCCATGGTTCTTTTATAAAAACTGTGGTCCTCCATGGTTCCTTCTTCAAACTTGTGCAGGCACGGTGAAAGCAACATATCAGTAGAAACAAAAATGCGATTCTTGCATCCTTGTTGTCCCTTATCCACCACCGGTTTTCAAGATGGCGCAATGACATGGAGACTACTCTGCTCTACTCTTTATAAGTTGAATTCAAAGCCTATGAAAACAATTAAAAAAACATGGTGGAGGTAAATATTAAAAAGTTCACATTTGTTATTAGTTTAACATGTTTTTTCATATGGAGCAGCTGTAAAAATTACACAGGGTGGCTTTAAAGCTGGAGGACCTAACTTTGAAACCACTAAAATAAACTACGTAATCAGAAATCTATGTGACTATTTCATAGTTCTCAAAACAGTTTGGTTCTGTATCACCAGTTTAGACAAAATACATGTATTTATAAAACAAAACAAATGTTAGGTACTTCAGCTTCAAAAACATAAAACAGACTAGAAAGCTGGAATGCAATTGTTATTAAAGCCCAGGTACCCAACTTCAAAGCACACAAAAGATGAAATACATACATATACTGTAGTTTCCCATCCCATCATTAGTTTTTATATGGATTTATTTTTGGCCTCCATCACATTTTTAGATTAGATTTTTAATGCAGAAAAGTGACAAAGACAGGACCACCCTCACTCAGCCAAAAACTCATCCCAAAGCACCAAAAAGTGACTCACAAGGATCTTTCTGACAAAGATGTAAAAGATACATGTTTACAAATGAGAAGAAGACTGCATCTGGTTTCTAATTTAATCACATCATTTTCTTTGACAAGATGAAGATTTTAAAAAGAAACAAAAAAGTTAGGTCCCCCAGCTTTAATACAATCACATGTTCATGGAGACGTCTCAACACTAGATGACAGAATTGCTCCAGTCATTTCAAATGTTAAAAGTTTTTTATTTATAAACCTGATGAAACTTATCTGTTTTTTAGTTTATAATAGAACATTTTAAATAAAATAACGTATAACTTTATTGATGTGAGTCACAAAGGAGACTTCAGTGTAAATACAACAGACAATACTTATTAGTTATAAAAGTCAGTGTCATAAAACTGTAACACTGAACAGGTCAGATTAGAAACAGTTGATAAAGTTTATCTGTAAAACACATATTATTAAAAGGATTCATTCAGTTTTCCTCACAGCTTTAGTTCAATCTAATCATTCTATAAAAATATATGTGATTTAAATTAACCACATGTAAAATAATGTTTTACTGCATTGATCAGAAAGTTGCATTTGAATAAGTAAACATTGCCCACAGTGTCAAAAATTGTGATACATTTCTAAAAGTAACAGTAAGTAAGTAATATTTATCTATATAGCGCACAGATTAAGGTCACCCAATGTTTTTGGAGAAACAATATTCTCCATTCTCTCCACACACACAGTGATGAAAGAGACTTTCATCATCCATGTTCTCCCTCATTACAGTCAGATCTAATGCACTTGTTTATAGAGGGAGGTAAAACTGGAGCACTGAGACCTACGCAGACAGAGGGAGAACATGCAAACTCCACACAGAAGGGCCCCGTCTGGAGCTGGAATCAAACCCAGGACCTTCTTTCTGTGAAGCACAAATGCTAACGCTGCCCAACACACAACACATGTATAAACCAAAGTGTGTCTTTCCTCTGTTCCTTCATTTAAATATTACAAATACATTTAATATACATTTCATCTGACAGAAGTTTTAATGCATTTGTTTTCTCCAAAAGTCACTTCAATAATGGTTAAAGCAAAAACAAAAGTGTATTCTTAAACATCTGCAGGGTGTAAGCTCAACTACAGGTCTGTGGTTTAGTGTTTTTAAATCATTTTGAAAAACAAGAAATACTGTAACAAATAGTGAAGCTCATATTGTTTTAGAAGTGAAAAGTCTAGAAGTGATTTTTTTGAACTCAAGTAAAGCACATTCGTTAAAATATTATATTTTGGAGTTTTATTTGTAAGACATTCAACAATGTAATGAGCTTCACAGAAACAACAACCTTTGGCCGTGTAAGAGATCAGGCCGAAGAATGTAATGTTCATGAATAACCTTTTTTGAATCAAGAACTTAAAAATGTATTTTCATTTCAATGCAAACCTCCTAACCCACTACATAATGCATTAATGTCTTCATCCACATGTTCTGGTTTTCTTTCTGCCTCGTTCTGATCCTGAGTTTTTACCTCATCTTTCACTTTTTCTGGTGACTCTGTTTCTTGTTGCTTCTTTTCTTTTTCCATAAACTTTGTCATGTTCTTATGTTCTGCCTCCATCACAGATTTTCTCTTCTCTGACATAATAATCATCTCATCTGTTCTCTCAAACTGTTTATTAAGATCTTGAAATGTTTTCTCAAAAACATTCTTCTCTTTCTCTAGTTTCTCAATGTTTATCTTCATTTCTTTTTCCCTTTTCTCCTTTGTTTCAAATATATTACCCTTCCTGTTCTTCTCTGCTTCTATTAAACTCATAACATGAAACAAACCTTTCTGTGGTTGTTCCTTGAGCTTCATTAAGAATGTCTTTGTCTCAGTCAGTTTGTGGATAACTTCCTCCAGATACTTCAGCTCATCCTCAATCTTCTCTTTTTCCCTCAGTTCTGGTAAAGACTCAGTCAGTTCAGACGACTGCAGGACTTCAGGAGAACATTTATGTGAGTTCTCTGTCGGTGTCTTCATCATACTCTCTTTTTCTTCTATTTCTCCAAGTTCAAAGTCCTTATTTTCAGATTTCTGTTCTGGAAAAGAGAATAACAAAAACATGTATATTAACTAATAACCTAAGCAAACAAAACCAAACTTAAAGATGTAATTCTAATGCACTAAAGATTTCAGTCTCTGCCTCAGACTTCAGTCGACCAATGAGGGAGGATATGTATCTCGCCTTTAAACACCTGATTTGGAAACCTGTTTTATGTATTTTATACTGCATTTCTACTCTTTTATTGTATTTATTTTTAGATCTTGTGTTTCTGTGTCTTTATGTACCCCCACTGGTGCTCCGTCTGTAAATGAAGTTCCTCTTAGATTAATAAAGTTATTTGAATTGATTGATCTCATTTCAATAAGATTCAATACAAACGTTTTTATTAACAATATGATAAATATTATATGATCCGTTCAATTTTAACACAAATACAAAACTATTGATGTATTTATATTTCATCTTTCAAGTTAAAAAAATGGCCAAACTCTAAACCTGGACTCACTGTTGGCTTTAAACTTCCACACGACCAAAGCAGCAGCAGCAGCAGCAGCAGAGAGACACAGAGCGAAGAGGGTCCAGGCCAGAGAGCAAGAGGAACAAGACTCCATCTTCAAGAATTCATCTGCACGAAAAATAACAAATATACGAGTACTTATTTGGGGGGATTTGTTTGTTCATCAACAACAGCAATAACAACAGAGAGCATGGTTTCCAGTTCAAGCCGAAGACCCGTACTCACAGGAAGTCAGAGTGAGTCGTGCAGCTTCAAAATAATATAATTTCATGTTTCAGTTCGGCCCTAACTTCTTCCACCTCTGGCCAATATGCTACCATGGCATGTTGTTATAGATTTTAAAACAGAACTACACTACTCCTTATTTTACAGCAAAAGATTACTTGGAAATTCAATTAGTAACAAATAATCAAACAAGCAAAAATCTGTAAACCCAGATGCTAAATGATGGTCCAGTTCTGTTTTGTTCTGCCAAAACTGCCCTAAACAGTCTTCTCTTCTATTACATAAATAAAACTATTCCCATCAAAAACAATTAACCTCTGAAAAATGCCAATCAGCTAAATTATGGAAGAATTTCCAAAACATCATTTTTCCACCTCCGTAACATCGCTCGCCTCCTCCCCTCTCTCTCTCAATCCCCTGCTGAAATACTGGTTCATGCCTTCATCACCTCTAGACTTGACTACTGCAATAGCCTCCTCTTCGGTCTCCCTTCCACTCATCTTCAAAAACTACAATACATTCAGAACTCCGCCGCCCGCCTTCTCACCCACACCCGCTCCAGAGATCACATCACCCCTGTCCTCAAAAAACTCCACTGGCTCCCTGTCCCATACCGCATCCAATACAAGGTCCTCCTCCTCACCTACAAGTCCCTCCATAACCTGGCCCCTTTGTACCTCACTGACCTCCTCCATCATCACTGTCCCACCCACCGCCTCAGACCCGCTGACTCCAACCTCCTCACTGCCATCAGAACAAAGTGCCAAACCTGGGGGGACCGAGCCTTCGCTGCAGCTGCCCCCACTCTCTGGAACTCACTCCCTCAACCCGTCAGAAACTCAGACTCACTACAGAACTTTAAATCTCTCCTAAAAACCCACCTGTTTCATCTTGCCTTTCCTTAATTTTGTTTTTCAATGTTTATTTCTACGTGTTTTGTAAGTGTCCAAAAAAGCGCTATATAAGTTTGATGCATTATTATTATTATTAAAACTAAACAAATGTACCCTTACCCCCGGTGGTAGCAAAGGGATATGGCAGGCTGATAGCATTTTATACCTGAGACATGTTTCAACAAATATTTTCAACTAAGAAAGTATCTCTTATTCTAAAACATGAATTAAAAAGTAAAAGGTTTTATTATCATGTTTACTGGCCACAATTAATGCATAATAATTCTTCTTTACATTACAATTACAATACAATATTTAAAATCAGGTTAAAGACAGTTCTGTTTAGCTGTGCATACAACTGAGGGGCGACAGTAGCTCAGTTGGTAGAGCATTGGCCTTAAGGCCAGAAGGTCGTGGGTTCAATTCCCACCTCGGCACCTTCTCCATCGACTCCCACTGATGTCTGCTGTCGTTGTGTCCTTGGGCAAGACACTTAACCCCACTTTGCCCTCCTGTGGACTCACCACCTGCAGAGGGTCAGTGAGGGGCTGGTGCTATGAGACTTGGGTGGCATCTCTGACTGCCACCCCCCTGACCCAGAAATGGATTAAAGGGAAGAAATTGGATGGATGGATCTTTCTTTTTAATGTTCTGTGATTATTTATGATTTTAATGCTTTCTTATTTTGTTCAGCACTTTGAATTTCCTTGTATATGAATTGTGCTATATAAATAAACTTGCCTTGCCTTGCCTTGCCTAAAACCATGGGCTACAGAAAACTGTGGAGAGAGGACTCACCGCTGATGTGGAGCCGGGCCTCTCTGCTCGCTCCGCTCGGCTGATGCTGTACTCTGCAGGTGAATGTGTTCCCCTGAATCTGCTGCACTGTCAGCCTGCTGCTCACAGAGAACAGATCATCACTCCCTCTCTGAGCCTCCGCCCTCAGAACCACCGTCCCCTCTGAGTCCAGCCACTGCAGCTCTGGCTCCGGGGACCAGCCCACGGACTCACACCTCAGCACCACTGACCCTGAGGGATCCTTCTCCACACTGATCGAGGGAGGGGCCACTGGGAAGAGCAGAGAAGATTGTAAAACATTCAACTGGGACAAAGCAAAGATGAACAGAATCTGATGCAATGAAAGAAATGGAGAAGGCACTCTGAAAACTGTGTTTGTTATAACTTGAACCGAATGAACAAAATCTGAATTTGAAGCCCTCTGAGAGGCAGCCAGGAGATACTCTATCTCCTATTGCTTAGTTATTATTAGCTCATACATGAAGGACAAAGAAGGATGTATGTTTTACGAATTCCGAAGCAGCCACAGTGAGTATGAAGATAACTGTTATTGTGTAAGATTTTCACATGTAATCATCATATTCACGGACTCACCGACCAGCAGAGTGACCTGAGCCTCAGTGTCGGTTTGGGGCAAGAAACAGCGGTACGTCCCCTCATCACTGAGCTTCACTCGGGACAGGCTCAATGAGAGGTCTCCCTTCTGCAGCCGGCTCTCGGACAGAGCCGTGCGGGCCAGATACAGTGGGTTCTGGTAAATGTGGAAGTCCAGAGCGTCACGTCTGATGTGGACGTATGGTGGAGTCAGGTCCAGTCTTGCCCACTCCACCACCTGCTCCCTGAGGTCTGCAGCAGGCTCCACCTGACAGGGCAGGGTGACATCACTGCCCACGGGCGCCATGACGACCTGAGGCGGAGTGACTATTGTGTACTGACCTGAGGACATCAACACGTTACTTAAGGTGTCAAACTTTTGTTTATCCACTTTTTAATTGCCACTTTTATTGTATTTATATATCCTGCATTTAACATGTCTGCACATTTCTTTATTTTTCACAACCTTGAGTGATTCTATCCATGCCAGATGTGACATGTTAATTTCTCCTGTGTGAGATCAATAAAGTCTATCTTATCTTATCTTTCAAACAGTCATACATTGACCCAAAATTAGGTTTGCACATACACCAAAATTATACATTCTTCCTTAAGGACCACCTCCTCACTGTGAGGGAAGAGTTTGGTGGGAGATGAATACTTACCCCAGCAGAAGTGAGTCTGCACGAGGAAGAGGACAGACAGTTGTACCAGCTGCATTCTGGAAATCTATGAAAGAAGATAACCACACTTACTGTGAGAAGACCTCTCGTCTACACATACATACGCATATATTTTTATATTTATATTTATTATATATACACATTTGCCTCCCACAGTGTGGCATCTTTTTCCACTGGGTTTTTATTTATTTTGTATTAGTTTTCCCTTGCCGATGCAGGAGGGTCTAAGGACAGAGGGGATGGTCCAGGACACTCGACATTCAACATTTATGCACATGAGTCATCTGCTCCTTATGGACAAATACCTTGATGTGTACATTTGGTTTTTTTTTGTTTTTTTATCATTGTTTGGTTTTCTGATCTGTTTTTGGAATTCAACAGTTTGTAAAGTTTTCTGAGATAACAACTGTTGTGATTTAGGACTATACACAAAAAAGTAAGAAAGTAAAGGTCTCTTTTTTGCTGGCTCACTGAGGGTCTTGTGACTGACTCAAATAGAAAGTGAAAGTATTCTCTCACACTTATAGCCTACAACATGTAACTCAAATCAAACTAGATCACCTTTATTTCCCTCTCACAGCAGGTGAGTTAGAGACGAGTTCACCCCAGTTACAACACATCCATAACTTACAATCGTTTGGACACATTTCGCACCAAAGTAAAATATTCAGAAGATTTGGCAGGAATTGAGACATATAGACAATAAAACAAGATGAAACCACGTCGCTAAAGAACATTTTTAAGTAAGATATGAAGTTGTGATCTTACCTGTTTATTTCACACAAGTATTCCTGTAGTTCTGTTGAAGCTGACAATAAACAAACGCTCCGCCTCTTCTCAATGATTAATCCCAAGTTCATGAGGACAGTCAGACACAAACAGGAGTCTATCATAAAACCATCAGTCTGTGGTTTTCTCAAAGAACTGAGAGACAGAAAATGTTGTGGAGTTTTGATTCCTAAAAGTCCAAGTATTCCATTCCAGTCCACTTTCCTTTTTTAAATGGTCTGTCACTTAGGATTACAATAAATAATAATAATAATCTCTCCTTGATCAAAGTCAGAAGGCTGCCCTTTGTCACTTAATGGATATTTCTAGGCGCAGTCAGGGCCCAGAGGGATTTTTCATCTCTGCTGTGAACAAGCAATGTTGTGTTGTTGGCTCCAACGAAGCAGAACCTTCAACATGCTCTGGGACAGTTTGCAGCAGAGTGTGAAGCAGCTGGGATGAGAATCAGCATCTCCAAATCTGAGGCCATGGTGCTCGACCAGAAAAAGGTACCTTGTCCTCTCCAGGTCTGGGGCAGACTAACAGATGTGTGGTAAGCGTTGTGTGCCATCGGCCCCTCCCATCACCACCAACCATTTATGTACATATCAGACTCATACTAGGCAATGTGAGTGAAGTGTCTTGGCAAAAGACACAACAACAGTGAATGATACGACTACGAGACTGTGACAGAGATGGGGACTTGCAACACGGACTCACGTGTCTTAAGGAAACAGTAGAATCATGAAATAAGTAAAAGCCTAAATTATCACAGCCAATTCCTTAAAAAAATTTGTTACTTTGAACGGAGGAGCAGATAAAATGATTGATTTGTACTATAATAATTTGCACTGCTAAACAAGAGTGTTGTAACCTGTTGTTTTCAGGAAGACTGTTTCAGATGAAAGGGCGACAGTGGCTCAGTTGGTAGAGCATTGGCCTTTGAGCCTGAAGGCTGTGGGTTCGAGCCCACCACAAGATCTATTTCTTTTTAAAAGAACTGCCCCAAAATGCTGTTCTGTTTCCATTGTGAACGTAATGTGTGTGCTTTCTGTCTTCTCTCAAAGTTGACTTTTAAACCTGTACTTCATCGATGACTTAAAGCTGGGGGACCTAACTTTTGATTGATTAATTGTATTTATTTCAAAAAGGAATAAATTCTAGATTTAACTGCAATGACATATTTTAGATGATAGAAACGTATCTTCGTACATACATACATTACTAAAATATATTTTTTCACTCCTGTTAAAGCTCAAAAAGAGTGGGAAGAAGTCAAGCTTATAGGCTCCCAGATACCTAAACTATACCTATATCTACCTATAACTTTAAAACCACTAAATATGTATTTGTAAATCTATGTAACTATTTCATAGATCTCAAAACTGTTTGGTTTTGGACAAACAAGATGTATTTATGAAACAAAACGAACGTTCGATACTTCAACTTCAAAAACACAATACTAAGACATTTTATAGCCGGGGCACCCAACTTCAAAGCACACAAAACACACACATAGTTTCTCACTCTGAAAATGTCAATCCCATCAATAGTTTTTGTATGGATTTAATTTTTCCTTTTTCCTCCATCACATTTTTAGATGAGATTATTTTTAGGCAGAAAAGTAGAAAAGAGAGGACCACCCTCACTCTGCCAATCAACTCTCAGCCCAAAGCTCCAAAAAATTACTCACACGGACCTTTCTGATCTGGTTTCTAATTCATTCACAGCATTTTCTTTGACAAGATGAAGATTTTAAAAAGAAACAAAAAAGTTAGGTCCCCCAGCTTTAATACAATCACATGTTCATGGAGACGTCTCAACACTAGATGACAGAATCGCTCCAGTCATTTCAAATGTTAAGTTATTTATTTATAAACCTGATGAAACTTATCTCTGTTTTTTAGTTTATAATAGAACATTATAATAAAATAACATATAACTTTATTGATGTGAGTCACAAAGGAGACTTCAGTGTAAATACAACAGACAATACTTATTACAGTTATAAAAGTCAGTGTCATTAAACTGGAACATTGAACAGGCCAGATTAGAAACAGTTGATAAAGTTTATCTGTAAAACACATATTATTAAAAGGATTCATTCAGTTTTCCTCACAGTTTTAGTTCAACGTAATCATTCTATAAAAAAGTGATTTAAAAGAACCACATGTAAAATAATGTTAGTAGATAGTATAGGTACCAGTATTGAGCAAGTGGTGAAAAGGTGGTACTGCACCCTAAAATCCCCAGAAAAGAGACGGCGCTCTTGAGCAAGTGGTGAAAGGTGTTACTGCACTTTGTTTTTTTCAATGAGTTAGCTTCTGTGTGTGTGTGATAATGTTTCACAGTTGTCTAAAGTGATTTATGATCACGGTGTATTCTAAAACAAGCAGTTAGGTCAATAAACTAATTAAGCTGCAGGTCCTCCCTGTTAACGACACGTGTGTGTGTCTGATAGTGATGACCGGTTGGGAGGGCGTACTAGCAACAAATCAGAATGGGTGGGAGGTCTGTTACAAGTTTTTCAATGGTTCAAACGCTTTGCGACTGTCTAAGAGAAGGTTATGCAATATGTCTAATACAGGTAAGTTATAACATTTTTTCAGTATTCATATTAAATGTTTTAATTTAGTTTATCTCTAGGAAAGGGTCGTTTATTGACACATTATAACACCGATGAAGATTTAACTCCAACAGCAAAAGTTACGAGAGGTCTACAGCCAACGGATGAAATAAGGTAAGATCTCATTTTCCTTAATGTCTTAATCAGATGTTTAATACTTTTATTTCATTTATACAGCACAGGTAAATTAAACATCAAGTCAATGCCCCTGATGCATAAATTAAATCAACATAAAGCTCCGTAAGTCGGTACATATACTAACTTTATATAACAAGTTTTATGAGAGGTATATATTTTTTTTTCTAGAGCAATTCTATCACGCCGCAACGGACACAAAATAACTAATCACGGGGATGATGATAAAAGGTGAGTTACATATTATAATTTTATAATGATAGTGGTTATAATTTTCTTCTCACTATTTTAGCTCATCAGAGGGTGACGAAGACACAGAGAATCAGCCCTCAGTAAACCAGGATTTCAACATAATCGATTTTATAGCGACACTCGACATTGATGCCATTATACGCGATGAAGGTATACCAAACAACGATCAAGATGTATTAAACGCAGGAACACCATTCCCGGACCGTGAGGAATACTTTGAACCTGGACACGCAGCAGCTCCTGATGCAGCAAAAGGGCCTGTAAAGAATGCTTTAACACCAAAGGTGAATACTCTACAAGAAAACACACATCTGTTAAATACCAGTAGTGAAAAAACTTTTGTGAAAACAGAGCTCTCCAACATACGTGAGGAATTGAAGTCAACCAAGGCACGTTGTATTAGTGCAGAGCTACACACAGAGAGGTGTCTAGCAACTGTGAGCCAGCAAGTAAAATACACAGAGGCCCGTATACTTAACGAAATACATCAGTTAAAGAGACAAGTTCACCATCTTCAAACTGAGCACGTAAAAGTTACTAAACAAGTGTTGGTGTTGCAAAATCAGCGTACAAACGCTACTATACACAGAGCTAAACTACGCGCTAGAGGCCAACGAGCCCAACTACAGACACGCGCGCTTCAACGAGAGGTCCTACAATTGCAAACTCAATACACGAAAGCCTCTATACACAACAGGGAATTAGAAACAAAAACCTTACGCGGGGAAATACAAATTCAAAATTTGACTACTGAAATCAACCACCTTAAAAACACGGGAAACGTAATAGCTGATAGAATTGCACAAGTGGATAACCAAGCGAGCACGTCTATAGCGGCTGTTATAGAGCAAATCAATGAAAACACTTCTCATTTGAAAGCCATCGAAAATGCTTACGATCGTGAAGCACACTAAAAGACCTAACGCTACAACACCCTCTCAACTTCCTAAAAAAATAAGAATTAATTATGGTGAGCGCTCTTACACTTATGCATCAGTGGAACGTTTAATTCGTACTAATTATCAAACAACGCGTAACACTGATCGTACTAATTATCAAACAACGCGTAACACGTATCCGTGTATTGATCGACTAATTCGTACAAATCATCAAAGTGCATCCCATGCTGCAGAACGGTTAATAGCACCGACCATAGCTGAAAGGCCTCCGCTAGCAGACATTACCTCAAATGCTGATAATGTTAACCAGTCAATAAGTAAAGATACTATCCAACCCACAATACAACAACCTACAAA